CTAAATAATGTCACATAACATTTCAAGACAAGTTGAGGAAGGTCGGGCGGTCCAAACATTATTTTGGGCCCAACCTGCTAAAAATAGCAAGTATTCAAGAATGGCGTTGTAGGCCCACTTGGGGGTGACCCACACGACTAGTAGTCCAATATATGAATGACAATGTCAAAATAAGTGATAGTATGATTAGAGAAGAATACAAATACCTATGGTCCCATCTTCGACATTATTGAGCTAAACAATGGGAGTAGGATTTTTCTTCTATAATATTCATCATGTAAGTTATTGGGATGATCCTACACATGTTGGGAATCAATAATATGATGTATGAAGTTGACTTGGCCTACATAAATTATAAGGAGTACAAAAAGACATCTCATGACAAGGATAAAACAACAGGGTCCATCTTTTTCATTTTGGAAGTATTGGTAGGTATTTTGGACCCCAAATTGAATGGAATCATTTGGGAACCATCCCACATGACCTTGGTACCCGCAAGACAAAGAAAAATGGATGAGACAACTATGTGGGGCGGACATTTGACTTGAGACCTACAACATTACAAAAAGGAAATAAAAGAGGAGGTCCACACCATGTTTAATTGCAATCAAACACCCTACCCTTTCTTTTTGTGAACCACATGCTTAGATATCATTTTGAGATATCCTAAACACCTCCCCCTCACCCCCCATTCGAACTGAAATGGATACGAAAGAAGGGAGAGCCTCACGCTCAATAGGGAAAGAGATAAGGGAGCTGGCCGCAGGGTTAATCTCCAGTTCGTGGAGCTCACTGTTTGGTTCGTATCTTGAGAAATACTCACCCAAAAGGGGCGTATGAGGTGTCCACTGAAAGCTCTCAAGAAGAGGGATCCATAGACGTACGGTTTGAAGGAAACGGAGCAGTTTAAGGCCTCCAAATCGTCAGAACAAAACGCAACCTCACAGAATAAGTTTTTGTATTCAAAGTAAGTTTGAATCCAAAACCTTTCTCTCTATTGTCTAAATCATATGAATGATTGAAGAGCTATTATAAACTGGTTGAAGTGTATAAAATGTTATTATATAGTGACTTTAATTGTTGGAAAGGTTAGAACTAACCTAGAGCAAATATTGGAGAACTAGGAAACGAGTTAGCCGGAAAACACCCATTCTAGGGGTTGTTTTCGTATCAACGATTAGGGTTGAACTAGCACTTTGAGGAGGCTGTTTAACACTCATTGCTAAGCAAGGAATCAGTTCTCAAGCTTCCTTGGCCGAGGCTTTGGTCATTGGATCGAGAAGGAAAGTTTTAAAGCTCATTGAGATGAGGATCGACATCTAATTGCTTACAACTTGTAGGTTAAGCATGAGATTTCCTAAATGCCTAAATCATAATTTTTCATGGATTATGATGCTTAAATATTTATGAACTATTGATATAGTTGACAAAGAATGAAATTGGAAATGGTTTGAGATTGTATGAATAACATGAGATTAAATGAGTTATAAACGAACTATTTTGTGAAATAGACATTTTACTCATGTATGAATTATGTGGATACATAAATGAATATTTATGTATTGAAATTGAGTACTTAAGTTGCTGCTACATACTTATAAATATGTAGAGAATTACAAGATGAGGATATTTGTATGATGACAATAATCTTAATAGTATTGAAATACTAGTTAGTGATTATTTGAAGTTGTTGATAGAATTGATCCTAAGTATTGGATTGTATGAAATGCACTTGAATGTACTTCAAGTGTATAAAATGACTTGGTATGAAGCTAAGGGTAAGTCATGGGCAGTCATTAAGAATGACCAAGGTAGATATTCGAGATGTCAATTCTAGGCATAGGTTTGCTTAGAAATTGGACTATAATGAGGAATTAGAGTCGGACTCTGTGATTTGCATGGAAATGTAGTTGGTCCGAGACCTTGCCATGTAAATTGTGATTTGCATAGAAATGTAGTTAGGCCGAGCCCTTGCTATGCAAATGTGATAAGATGTAAATTGTGATTTGCATAGAAATGTAGTTGGGCCGAGCCCTTGCTATGCAAATGTGATAGGATGTAATTGTGATTTGCATGGGAATGTAGTTGGTCCGAGACCTTGCCATGTAAATTGTGATTTGCATAGAAATGTAGTTGGGCCGAGCCCTTGCTATGCAAATGTGATAGGATGTAAATTGTGATTTGCGTAGAAATGTAGTTGGGCCGAGCCCTTGCTATGCAAATGTGATAGGATGCAAACGTGATAGGATGTACTTGACACAAAGGATTGCATAGAAATGTAGTTGGGCCGAGCCCTTGCTATGCAATGGTAATGTTATGAACTTATGAATTGTCGTGGCTTATAGTCACGGGGAATGGGAATGGTGATTTCTAAATGAACATGGGCCCACGGGCCGACTACTTGACTTTTATATAAAGTAAGTATATTTTGAAACGGGGTAACTTAGGGTTACCACTATATTGTATTATCACCCTATTTGAGGGTCTTGTGTTTGAAATACTTGTTGTATATCCCTTAGATGCCATCCACACCAGTACTTTATAGCCGTATAGAGTACTGACCCCTTCGGGGGCGTCCCGCCACCATTTCAGGTTGAGGCTCGAGCTTGCTACCTGTGCCCGTTGCTCGGGTGATCCTTTGGAGAGAAGAAGTGGTTCGTGCCTTCTCCATTCTGTTTTGAAACAATATTAAACATGCTCATGGATATTTTACTATAGAGCCTGCGTGCTCATGAATAGCCCTGTGTGGCCCTTTTGTTTTAAACAATGTTTCCGTTGCGTTATGAATTACTCATTATGTTTGTTTATGGATGTTATGTGGGTGAATGATATTCAAGACGCCTTGTATAATATGAATGTGTTGGACTGCGGTTGAATATTCGTATTGTACGGCGGGTTGTTGACGTGTCCGGGGAGGTCCAGGGCGTGATAGTGGGGGACTTCTGATGGAGTATATGGACTCCGACCCCCCGGTATGCCGACTACTGGGCCTGGACAGCGGCCCACACACATTTAGCGGATTCATATTATTGTACATTATTATTCAAATGTTCTAGATTAGCTTTTTATACTATCAGTCCATTTATGTAACCGGGTCTGTCAGGCCCGTATTAAAGGCCCAGACCCAGATTTTCCCTATATATACTCCTTATAGGAGGCTTGTAACTCATAACAAATATTCATTCATTCTATACACTTTCATTATTTCTTCTCTATTCCTGTTCAATCTCTCCTGTTTATACAATATGGGTATCAATTATCCAACACCTATCCCTCCTTTCTTGAGAGTTGTTCCCTTTTTCAGAGGTTTCACAACATCCATAGAGACGTTAATACGGATATAAGCTTCCAACTTTTCGTCAAATTGGTTTTCATAAGAGTTAATAAACTTACCAATATGATTACCAACCCTCCTAGTAGTGCCTAAGTTCATAAAGCCATAAGGAACATTATGAACTTGCACCCAGAATTCAGCCTCAGTGAGGCTAATTTTGAGCGGAATACCCTTTGGCCTGACTTCCTTGAGAAACAACATATTCCTTTCAAACAACCACAAACCACTCTTTAAAACACGCTTCATATCCACAACACGATAGAAAGTGAAAATACATTTCGTCACCTATTTATGTGATTGACACATCTTTTCCCCGCCACAGAGAAGCCATAAGTTCCTTGAAGATTCGGAACTTAATCTTCCTATTAATGAGAAGGGTGCCTACCACCGGGAAGCTCATCCGCCTCTCCTCCGCCGCTTATTCTTCGAACTCGTCATCATCGAAGTTCAGCTCCTCAATATCCCCTCCAATAGCCATATTTTTGTATTGAGTGACAATATTTTCCATTAAACTCCTCTCTGCTGGCCGAGCCGAAACCCGCCACAACGCTCAAGCAACCATGCACCTTCCTTGCTGGATCGAGCCGATGCCGCCGCAGAAGAGTCGTGAACCCCAACCTCAAGCTAAACTCCCTTCGCTCGACCTAGAACCCTCGTCGCGGCCACTCTTCGTCATAGATGAAAACGGAGATACCGAAGCCCTAGAGAGGAGAGACCAACTTGTGTCTGCATTCTAAAAGCTTAAACTAATACAAAGCTCCATTACAAAACTTTTAACATATGATACATGGAGCACAAATTAAAAAACATACACAACAATATGCAACATATTGACTATTACGTAGCCCCTAGTATGTGCATACTCAATTCACTAAATTACCCGCACGGGTAGCTCAATTGGTCGAGTGGTGAAACATTTGGATCGATCAAGGCTCGAATCCCCGCAACGACCGAATGGAGTTTACAGAACCTGAAATAAGGCTTAACATCTGATGCGCACGGGTGTCAATTTGCTGACTGAGTCATCGTGACTTCCTTTACCATTCTGCCTGATCGGGGTGTGAGACTCCTGGTATGGGAGATTCCACCTTTGGATCAACTAAATCCACTAAATAAATTACATAACCCTAAATTGAGGGCAAAAGTAAAACAAAGGGAAATATCCTAAAAGCAAAAGAAATATCCGGCGCTGAGTACGCTGACCGCGGAATTTGGAGTTTTTTTCCGTATTAATGTTAATTAATTAATTATTTACGGAAATAATGCTGGAACAAAAGTATTTACCAAAATACTGCTGGGCCTTAACCGTGGTCAGGACAAAGTCGCCCAACGGTTGGGCGACTTATAAGTCGCCAAACGGTTTGGCGACTTATAAGTCGCCCAACCGTTGGGCGACTTTGCCCTGAAATATGGTTTCAACCGAGCAGCTACTGCCAGCCACGCACGATCGTGCGTATTTCCTTACGCACGATCGTGCCTATTACCTAAAACACCAAATCAGCTTGTTTTTCGCCCCGGTTCAATCCAGACCGATCTGTTTGCTACAAATAAGGTCTCCTTTCTCCTTTTGAAGTGTTACAAACTAGATACAACACATGATAATCACATACTCTCAACAACATAAAAAACACCTTATAAACACCGCTAAAAAACTTTCAAATCATAACCGGTATAACACAGTTCAATCATCATATATGCCATAACAAATAATCATGTAATATTCATACTCGAACACATCAATACAACATAGAATACTTAACAAGAGAAAATACATCAAAACTTGTAAATTGTTCCTACAACATCTATTGCATAAGAAAAACTATAATACAAAAGACAAACTACAAGTTCCCATCATCAGCTTCGTCATGGAGATGTTGCTGCTCATGTCTACGCCTACGGCGTTGTCGTGGTTGAAGAACCACTCTCTCATGTTGCGTCTGGGATGATGAACCCGCGGCTGCACTAGACGTGGATGCCATCTCCTGAGATGCGGGCATGTGTATAAGATGTCCGTAGTCTACTCGACCCAAGACATCTGAGCATAACGAGGCAATGCCTGTCAGAGTCTGTCCATACATGTCCACATCAGGAATATCAGTCACAGTGGCAGTAGCCCGCTGATGTATGCGCTGCAAAGCTCGGGTCTGAAATACGAAACACAATTACAATTACATTCAAATACATACAAGTATTACATAAATAAAATGACTTACTTTACTAATTAGTAATATACTCACCGTAAGATGCAATGCCAATGAGCTAGGCTGATAATGATGAGTAGGGAGTCTGAACGAAGGAGACACAAACAACCGAGTGATGCTGTAGTACCATCCCATGTAATCTCCTGAAACTGATGGCACATATGTGGGTGTCCCAGCCACGGCTAGCTCAGCTCTCCTATCCCACATAGTCACGTATCGGACATGTCTGAGTGCCCAATCCTCTGTATGTTTCCCACGCCTATCCAGCTTATGCAGCTCTACATAAGTGTCGATAGGACGTGGAATGACCTGCTCAAACCCAAACTGTCGCATGACTCTATCAGGCAAATGAAGCTCAACAATGTCAAAACATATCAGCGGCACACGTGCTCGCCATATGTGAGTCTGCTCTCGTCCAGCTGGGGGCAACTCTGCTAACATATCAGGTCTATACGGCATCCATGTGATCTGTTTCGTAAACATACAAAATTAGTATTTATTCTACACCTATTCTAGTTACTGTTATACTACACACACCATACCTGGTCCTCTGACATCCGATCCAATGCATCCCTGTACACACCGAGACCAGTAGCGGATGACATGCGAGATAAACCAGCATATAGCCACCTAACCATTAATGTTACAATATCAATAATATGGATTTTATTAATGCATTTTCATTCAACAAAAACTAACACAAATACAAACGATTGAAAACATACCGACGGCCTAGAGGGTCCACGCCCCGTACATGATGTGGTCCTAGCAGACGTGGAGGCTCATCAGGCAGTGGCTGTCCATCAATGCCATGATATCCAACTATAATGGGACGGCCAATGTGGATATACTCCCATGACCAAATCTGGAGGAGTAGCAAAAATCCCCCCAGCTCTGTGCTCCCTCTCTGGCACCCGCGACACAGCTGCCTGTAGAGATAAGCCAGGGTGGCACTACCCCAGCTAAACTGTGCTGCTACATCAAACCTCTCCAGCAAAGGCAGGTGTAGCACCTGAACCTCATTTCCGCTCTTGTCAGCGAAAATGGAGGCTCCCATCATCATCAATATATACGCCCGAGCATGCTGCTGGATGATCATCTCATCAGCGTCGGGAGGAAGGGCCTGGAAGTGCTCCCTCAACCATGGCATCCTAAGAGATGACCCCTGAAGGTCAGCCCTAAGAACGGGGCGGATGCCTAACAACCTCTCACACTCATCCACCCACTGTCGACAAGCAGTGCCTGTAACAGCTCTCCCATCAACCTCTAACCCAGTCAGTACAGCCACATCTCCCAATGTCACAGTGACCTCACCAACAGGTAGGTGAAATGAATGTGTCTCCTGCCTCCAACGCTCAAGTAGAGCAGTGAGGAGGGCTCTATCTAAAGGCACAGTAGCCACTAACCTGTGCAGTGTAAAAAAACCTGCTGCACGAACATATGCTAGGACTCTGGGGTCGACATGTAAATGGGACAAACCCCGCAGATGCTCGCGGCACCTATCAACCTGCACATCCATGCCAAGCCAAACATCCTCACTCCTGTGTGAGGCCTGCAGTGTCAGGACAGAAGGATCACTCGGCCCAGGATCCGCTATCACCTCCATGCCTACAAACAAAATTTGTATTAGTTCTAATTGTATTAGTTGTAATTGTATAATGTATTACATTTTTTTTAACTTCCTTTTTTGAATTTATTAATTTTCCATGCAAGGAAATAATGAATTATGATTGACTCGAAATATACACATACCCAGCGGACCCCCCCGCTTGTCTAGATGATCTCTTTGCACATGTCGCTCTATTATGGCCGGTTTGGTGGCATCTTCCACATCTAACCGTTCCTCGTGGGCCTTCATCCATCTCATTCTTAATACGGGTCGACTTTGGTCTTCCCTTCGCCCGAAGCATGGATGGATCATGCACGATTTCGGGTCCATTGTAATTTGGCCAATAATCACGATCAGGAATCGGTTTGAACACCCTATGATACGTGGCGGCGTATTGGTCAGAAGAGAAGAACTTATCCACAAATGGAGCATAAGACAAACTACGTTGTCTACACACGGCTAATACATGGGAGCAAGGAATCTTGTATATCTCCATCTTTTTGCAAGTGCACGTTTTCCGTTGTAGATGGACAGTTTGTTTTCTCCCACCCTTTCCCAACGTTCTGCCACCACAACCGGTCTCCACCTGAAATATACCTCGCCCTAAATCAAAAGGAGTGACAATGTGATGCTTTGCCTTCTCTCTATTTTTTTCAATTACATCTGTGATGTATGGGGAGTACTCGTGGCCTTGTGTGAGCCTCAACTTACTAGTTTCACGCCTATTCACAAAGTACGCATTAACCCGGTAAAAAGACACCTGGACCAAGGCGGTAATGGGCAAATATCTAGCATTTTTCATGACGCTATTGAAAACCTCAGCCAGATTTGAAGTGATGGTACCGTATCTGTACCCGCCATCATGGTGCAGCGACCACATTTCTGGAGGAATGTTGGCCAAAAATTGTCGTGCATCCCTACTCATTTCACCTATCTTCTTGAACCCACCATCAAATTTTTTTTTCTGATGTTGCCGTGCGGTCCACACAAATAGATTTTTTAAATGAATGTCTTTGAAATGAGTGTGCACATTTGAAGCAAGATGACGGATGCATAGCCTATGATGCGCATAAGGCTCCTCCCAATTACTTCCAACCTCATTCATTGCCCTAACAATACCTCCATGTCTATCTGAAATGACACACAACTCCCTGTTAGTCACAAAATGCCTAATACATGCCATAAACCATGGCCAACTGTCTCCATTCTCGGATTCAACAACTGCAAAGGCGACTGGGAAAATTTGGTTGTTCGCATCACAACTCATGGCCACGAGCAATGTGCCCTTGTACTTTCCATACATGTGTGTGCCATCAATAGTAAGTACGGGTCGACAATGCTTAAAACCAGATATTGATGCCTTGAATGCCCAAAAAACTCTTTGAAACATCATATAACCTGTCGCACCATTGGGGGGTGGGTACCACTGAACAACAGTTCCTGGATTAGAATGTTGGAGCGCTGTCATGAAACGGGGCAATTCGAAATATGACTTTTCCCAACCGCCAAATATTTGTGCTATGGCCTTTTGCTTCCCCATCCATGTTCTCCGGTAAGATACCGTATACCCATATTTTTCCTTCAACATCTCGATGATAGTATGCACTTTAAGAGAAGGATCAGTGCGAATAATGTCAACCACATCTTTACAGATGAATTCTGATGTCAAGGCCACGTGATCTGTAGTGTCGATGTTGCCTACACAACAAGCAGAATGAGGTCCAGAATAACGCACAATTGTGAAGGTGTCAAGGTTGCCTTTATTCTTTGTGGCGCGTATTCTCCAGGGGCATTGACATTCTTTCTTCCTTTTGCATTGTGCCACCCATTTGTGTTTGTCGGACTCTATCACCCGATAGAATTGGTTCCGTTTGATAGAATACAAGCTCACCATATTGATGACTTGTTCTTTGTTGTCAAACTGTTGACCGACCTCAAACTCACCATCGGGGGTAAACCTTTTCTCACCTGATCCACTCATCCACGCATCAGTAAAACCTTCAGGGAGATCATACATTCTAGTGAAGTGGCTAGACGGGGCAGTTGATGTCACAGTATCACCATCATCTTCATCAGATTCTGTCATGTCGTCACCATTGATGTTCTCGTCTGCATCATCATCACTTCCCTGCCCATCCACAAATGATGCACCGTTGTGCAAATACCTGCCATCCTCCTGTATAACCATGTCTAGTACAGGAACCTTTGACGACTTCCCTGCATTCACCCCTGCAATGACATCATGCCTAGATACACCAGCATTTGATGTCGATTGAGTAGCATTAGCGTCAAAGCATTCCTCAATGTATACCTCCAGCGACGACATATCCTCCATCTGAATTATGCCCCACATATTTGTTATAGCTAGCTCATCAATGAGCGGCATAAGCATGTACTTTCCCCCGTTCATGGGAAATTTCATTTTCAACCGCAATGAACGGCCGGGATGAATCATTGTCGCTGCATGTATTTTTTGAAGGATCTCGACCATGCAAGCGCCACGAGAAACCATGACAAAGCTCGTTCTGCCACCTTCATGGCATATTTGCCCAGCATCCTCATAATAGTTCCCTCCCCAATGACACACGATTGGGAAGCTTGAGAAATCCATATTCTAATAACAATTCATTGTCCAAAATTCAATTGAGTACGCATCAATATACACACTTTATACACATTCAAATTTCCTAAATAAAAAAGCTACCAAAATTGTAATATATTCAAAAGTCGAAATTGACCAACAATTCACATCTCAATATGAAACTACCCAAATTTTGATAACTACATTCAAGTACGTCTACATTTCAATATCCAAATTTAGCTAAAATCAAGTCTATCCAAATGCCCAAATGTCAAAATACACATTAAAATTTACAATCAATTTAAAATCAAATTTCAACATTTCATACATATCCACATTTCACAACAACTGAATTCACAATCAATTCATAATACAAAAATTCGAAATTTTTAACATTCAAAACCCTAGGTTCAAAATGAGATGAAATGGATTTTGATTTACCTAGAAGAAAGAAGAAAGAGAGATGAAGATGGAGAAGGAGGTTCGCCGGAATGGGGTCGACGGAGAAGGAGGCTCGCCGGAGCTGGAGATGGGTCGTCCTTCGTCGCTCGTCGCTCGTCCGTCGTCGCTGCAGCAGAGGTTTGGGGGGATTTGGGGGAATAAACGCGTTCTGTCTGCGAGCCAACCCGTCTGCCTATTTAATAGGTAAGTCGCCCAACGGTTGGGCGACTTATAAGTCGCCAAACCGTTTGGCGACTTATAAGTCGCCCAACCGTTGGGCGACTTACCCCGACCATGGTTAATCCAGCAGTATTTTGGTAAATACTTTTAACTCAGCCCTAATTTCGTAATTAATTAATTAATTAACATTAATTAGAAAAAAAACTCCGGAATTTGGGTGTACCAAATCGACAGATTCATTGACCAGTGAGCACAACGGGGTAGACGACGTTCTTGGCTTTGTCAATTTTACGCCCCCAGCCCGAATTGGCAGCGCTGCGAGACCTTTTTGTCCTCTCCCGTTTCCTCCGCTTTCTTTCTCTGTGCCGTCCACGTTCTGCAGAAGCCAGCGGGCAACCTCCTCTCGGGGGAGAAGGAGAAAAGGAATTGACATTAACGAGCATATGAGATAAAAGGGTTGTTTGGGAAGTCGGCGGAATGGAGAAATTGTTCGATAAGGTAAGAAACTTGGATGCTTACCCGAAAGTCAATGAAGATTTCTACAGCCGTTCTCTCTCCGGCGGTCTCATCACCCTCGTCTCCTCGACCGTCATGCTCCTACTTTTCTTCTCTGAGTTTAGTACGTGTTTCTCTCTTTTTCCCGATCTCAATTTAGATATATATGCGCATTTACTTTCATGTATATGTATATATATTATATTAATCTGATGATTCTGATAATCCATTGCTGCGGTATCTTCAATTTGGTTAGTTTCATCTATACGATTTTGGTTTTTGATCGAGAGTGTATTCCGTATTGCAGGATTATACCTACATACTGTGACTGAGACTAGGCTTATTGTTGACACGTCAAGAGGAGAAAAATTACATATCAATGTAAAGTTCCAAGCTTTATGAAGTTTTCAAATGCTTGCGTTCTAAGAATTTCAGTAATTTGATTATTTCTAATAATAGATTGTGTGTGCATTGCAACTTGCTTACCCAAAAAAGCTCGCTTTCATGGATTAATTTATGTATTTATAACCCAAATCACGATTTTGACGATCACCAATAAGTTGCAAAAACATTTATAACCCAATAAGTTTGGCTGCAGATCTATATATGCTTTTTAATACTGGTGTTCTACTTCTACTTGTTTGAGCAGTTTGATGTGACCTTTCCAGCCATCCGGTGTTCATTACTTAGTGTAGATGCCATGGATATCAGCGGGGAACAACATCTTGACATAGTACGTTATGTAGATAGCTCCAGCTTTTTTTATAGTATGTGCTCATTTATTCTCTGATTTCCCATGGCTCTTGTGTTGATGTTTTTCTAATTATTATGACAAGTAGAGACATGATATATTCAAGAAAAGAATTGATTCACACGGTAATGTTATTGAAGTCAGACAAGAAGGAATCGGTGCTCCTAAGGTAACTAGTGGCCTAGATATATCTCATCTTTATATAACCTGGACTTCATATTAGATACTACGTATATAATAATTTCTTGTTCATGACAAATGATCCACCCAATTTATATATCTCCAGCAACATATATCTACACATATTTTATGCTAATGCTTGATGAATAGCTCTACTTCTTATCTAAACCTGAATTTCTACCTGTATTTTCTAATGTCCATTTGGTGCCTTCTCCTTGATTAAATGAAGTTTCTGCTTCTTCTCCACACCTCTTCTTTTCATGCTTAACACATTTGTCATTACATGCAGGTTGAAAGGCCTTTACAAAGACACGGTGGCAGGCTGGAGCATAATGAGACATACTGTGGTTCTTGCTTTGGTGCAGAAATGGTCCTATTTCTTTCATAATGCTTTGCTTTATATTTTTTCCATTTTCCCTCTGAAACAACTTATCAACACGTTCATTTAAATTGAAAGCCACCCACTATACTACCTGCTTTCCTTTGCTCTAACGCTATTCTAAGTTTGGAAATATATGATTTTTTTATTCACAGTTGCACTCTTTCACAATCTTCTCCCTTCCTTTTGCAGTCAGATGATGAATGTTGTAATTCATGTGAAGAAGTTCGTGAAGCATACAGAAAAAAAGGATGGGCAATCTCAAATACAGATTTAATAGATCAGGTTCGAGAGACTTTCTATTAACTCATATATCCCCCCCCCCCCCAGGATGCTAGAATTCCACGTTTAAGTCACCCACATATCATTTTTGAATTTTTACACGCTCAACTGTAATCTGTAAGCAGTGATGGTAAGCTTTAACTGATGGGAGGAATTTATATTCATTTGTGGTATTCACTACTCATGCCTGCAAGTCCCACTGATGAGTATGAGGAGCAATGCATTTTTTTTAAATGCTAGAAAAACTGTAGTAGCTAAAGTTAAAAAGAAGCAAGGCTTTGATTAATGACTCTTGATTTAATGAATTCCTTTTGATTGAGGTGCTGCTGATTATTTGTACAAGCGCGAGTTAACAAATAATAGTTTGCATTAGATATAGTTATAATGGAGAAGAATGAGTTTGCTAATTGATGATTGATCTTTGCTGTAATGAATGTCAGTTATGAATTTGTTGTATAAGTATCGTCTTTTTTTGTGATTAAGCTTACTCCTTGTTATGTTTTTGGTATTAAGCTTCATTTTCCATACATTTACAAAGACTAACTTGTTAAAATATTTAAAGCTTAGTGCTGTTATAATAAGTAGCCCGCCTCTAAACTATTTCATTTGCTTCGAAACATACAAGCTTCTCGAGACACCATAACAGTTTTTCTTCGACTCAGTTTGTTGTCTTGTTGATGTACGTTTAAAAGTGTTCATTGGGTTGTGTGCTTGATAAAACTTGTAGTGTAAAAGGGAAGGCCTCATCCAAAAGGTTAAAGATGAAGAAGGTGAAGGATGCAACATCCATGGATCTCTAGAGGTCAATAAGGTTGCTGGGAATTTTCATTTTTCCCCCGGAAAAAGTTTTCATCACTCAAATGTTCATTTGAGTGATTTGCTTGCTCTTCAGACAGATAGCTATAATGTAAGGTTCTGTTGCATTCTTTCATTTACTTGTTCATGTTTTATCTTTTTATAACAAATGAACAGATTTTTTTACTTTATTTTTATGTTATGCAGATAAGCCATACGATAAACAAGTTAGCTTTTGGAGCATCTATTCCTGGGGTTGTAAATCCACTTGATAGGTTAGTACTCCTTACACATATGATTTTTCTTTTCTTTTTTCATCAAATCTTATTCTTAATTTCTTATTTATTCTTGACTTCCTGTGTATTCACATGGTTGACTTTCATCCTCTTGAATTGTCAGGGCGCATTGGGTGCAGGAAACACCAAATGGGATGTACCAATATTTTCTTAAGGTCATTGCTCTCTGGCAAAAAACCTCTTTTTTCAATGTTCTTTCTTTCTGTGTGCAGTGGTCCGGGACTTGACTTTAAGCCTTAGGGAAAACTTCTAGCTGAAAATCTTGATTTTTTCCAACAGACCAGGCCATATGGACTTTTATGCTTCTTATTTGCCTTATTACCTGGCTGAACCGCCACTCCAATTTTCTTACTATGTGTACTTCTGTGCCTAAACCAAATTTGAGTGTACATGTAATACTTGCACAAGCATTCTGCCCGCATAAACATCTGCTTCAACCACGTTAGCACACCTATATAGGAGCTAAATTAAGTTGATTTACTCTTGTGCACGTGTTTACAGAAGTGCACTTCTCCAATGAGTTTCCTTAAATTCAGTATATATTTATTTATTGACAGCCGTCATGGAAGGTCATTATATATTACGTACGTTTCATCCTAAAATACTCCTTTTTTTTAATCCCGGAGATCCTAAAATACTCCCTATTTTTTATGCCAATAAGATCAATAACCTCTACATGGGAGTAGCAGCTTGTATATACCAGTTATTAATAACTCTGCTGTATTATTAAAAGGAACATGAACTTGAAATTTCGCCACTTCTAAAGTTCAATGGCTTTACAGGTGGTTCCTACAATGTACACAAACATCAGAGGCCACAAGATTGACTCAAACCAGGTACCCGTTGAGTCTTTGCAAATTAATATTTGTTGTTTTTTAATTTATCTTTTCCACTATTATAAAGCATTGCTTTTTTACAGTTCTCAGTGACCGAGCATTATAAAAGTGCAGAGTTTGGTCACTTCAATGCACATCCCGGGGTTTTCTTCTTTTATGATCTTTCACCTATCAAGGTGATACATTCTCTGTCGTATTTAATCACTCTACAATAATATGTCGTAATAACAAATAAAAAGAGCATTGCCAGTACTATAGTTAAATTTCCTCTAATTAACTGTTGCAGGTGACCTTCACAGAGGAGCATGTTTCTTTCCTTCACTTCCTCACAAATATATGTGCGATTATTGGCGGTAATATGCTGGTCTCAGTTTCTAATTGTATATATGGTCACCTTAGAAGCGAAAATAATATATATCTATGCGTGCAAATGGATGTTTGTTTGCATAAATAGTACTCCGTATAAAGTAGTGTCAAAGGGTTATTACATGAAATAAGTAATAGCTCCGAACCTGTCTCAATTTTTTTTAAAGGATCTTTCCCCCATAATATGCTTCGTAAGTTATTATGCTTGAAGCTTCAGGGCCACTTGTAACATGGGAAATGCCAAGGATTTTTTTAATGTTTGCTTTTATGTTAAGAAGTATGAAGGAGAGGAAGCGGTCCAGCCCAGCTGATTGACGACTCACTCTCCCTTATGGGAGGTCCCGGGTTCAGTTCTCAATGGAGTGAGATTGATCCCAGTTACCCCAGGCCCCCCAAACCTCCCTCCCCCGACGCCCCTGGGTAAAAAAAAGAAGTATGAAGGAAAATCATGGGGTTGACTTTTTAAAATTCATTACTACTCCCTCCGTCCCTTATAACTTTGCCAACTTTCCTTTTTTGGATGTCCCATTAACTTTGCCACTTTCCCATTTAAGTAAAGAATTTGTGGTTCCAGTTAATTCTCTCCTCTGCACAAACCTCAACCACACAGTTTTTACTTTATTAATCCACGTGCCGGTCAAATTTGGCAAAGTTATTAGGGACGGAGGTAGTATATAATTTGGTATCGTAGTCTTTGTAAGAGAAGGGGAGCCTTGGCGCACCGATTACGGTGTTGTAGTGTGACTCGTTCACGGGTTTAAGTCTTGAGAGCGGCCTCTCGTCAAAATGACAAGGGAAGGTTTGCTCTTTATTCACTCTTGTGGTGGGACCCTACTTCGGACCTTACCTATTGGGGACGCCAATGTGCACCGGACTGCCCCTTTTAGTCTTTGTGACAGAAAAGATATATACTTCCTCCGTTCTTAAATAAGTGCAACACTTTCCTTTTTCGGCAGTTTCAAATTAAATGCAACATTTCTATTTTGGGAAGAAATGCTAAGCAAATTGACTTTAATACCCTTGATTTTTTACTCTCCCGTCTCCACTAATTTCAGACATGACCCTTTTACTTACTCCACCCACCACCGCCCACAGATTTCAACTCCTCTTTACAGCTTCTCCCTCTTCCATTTTCGTACTGTATCTCTTCATCATCCCAGCCCACCAAAATCTACTTTCACCTCCCACCATTATTGATTGAATCACGTACTAACCTTTTTTCCTATTTCTTTCCTTATCATCTTCATCTTGGGTTTTTTCTCCGATTTCTTTTTTTAATTACCGTCGAAAGGGAAGACATGGATGGAGATGAAACCGATTTGGTGTGCCGCTGATCAAGGATAGCTACCACAGAATCTAATTCGACTTCGAATTTTTGTAACCGGCTTGATGGAACATTTCAGTACTTGAAGAATTATCTGTAAGTCTACGGTGAGTGCTGCGGATGCTGAAAGGGGAAAATAGGCTGCAAAAATAATCTGGCCTCTCGTTTCTCAGCACCGCCCCTGTTGTTGTTCTTCTTTCACGTTTTTTTGGACTTTTGATTTTCCCCTGCATAGCGTTTCTCCATAGCGTTCTGCATCGTGTTCGTGGTTGTAATGTATTTGCACTGTAGCACTTTCATTGTACAGCTGTTGTTTCCATATCATTAAGGGTAAACGAGTCAAAGTGCAATACCTTTTAGCTGCCTCTTAATTTCCGTGCCCATGTGCATGTTGCACTTAAAACCGAACGGAGGAAGAATTTTGAACAGATAAATTTTACCCCTGTTCATTCCTTTTAAATATCCCTCTACTTTCCTCCCTATTTTCTTTACCAAGCATTGTCCAAGTTATAAACTGTCTCTTGAAGTACAAACCGGGAAAACAGCAAGGTAATTACAAAAAGTTCTTTATAAACAAATTGCTAAGAACTTTTGCCTCAATAATAAATTCAACTCGGTAGTCCGGACATGTTAAAACTTAAAATCTCTCTGAATAATATCCATGTGTAGTGAACTAAAGTCCGGTGGATGCTAAAGTCTCTGAGATTCGTTCCCTTAAATGCTATATACATTTCATTTATTTGCATTGGCTGCGATTTCTTCATGGACTGAATGCACCGCCAGTACAATGTATATAACTGTTCCTTTCTCTTGTGTGCAGGTATCTTCACAATTGCAGGGCTAGTTGATTCGTTCATTTACCATGGTCAAAGAGCACTAAAGAAGAAAATGGAGCTTGGAAAGTTCAGCTAAGGTGCCTCTAAAACTGGGTTCCTCTAAAGCTTGGAAAGTTCACATGTTCTGTATTGCATCTACTTATTTTGACAGTGAACCAGATTTATTTCACTCTTCTCTTCGATAAGCTGTAATTGTTTATTTAATATTTTGAATCTGATTAAATGGTTACTGTGGGAATTGGAAAACTAATTCTTGACTAATGCAAAGGAAAACTCTGTTTGTCAAAAATGTGTTGTGTGTGTGTATAAAATGTGTATATCAAGCAAAAACCCAATGCAGAGTCGTTTTTTACGAAATGAGATGGGGGATAGAGCAATAAAATATCTAATTACCACCTTTGTGCTGAAATTAAACAAAAAATAGTTGTCTCCAATCTCAATTGATGGAAATGATGCTATTTAGCCTATTTTAAATGGATGGAAAAATGGCAGTTTAGACTTTTAGTTTAATGGTACTACTATATAACATATAGGCATGGACCGGTCCCGGGTCGGTCCTGGGCGGGCTTTTTGGGTTTGGCTTTGGGCCTGGAACCGGCCCGGGTTTCCACCGGGTCTTGGTTGGGCCGGGTCGGTCCCCGGGCTTCTTCATTTTTTTGCTTTTCTAATTAACCCCCCACCCCCCCAAAAAAAACCAGCCCAACTCGGGAAAAACAAAAAAAATGAAAAAAAAGGCCTGAACTGAGCCAGGTTGGGCCGGTTCCTATTTTGGATGACCCCAAGACTGACCCGTATAACCCCCGGGCCGGGCCTACCCGGATTGGTCTCTGGCCGGGCCTACCCGGACCGGTCGGCCCGGAACCGGTCCACCACTAATAACATATATGTACATGCATGATTAGTGGTGGACTCGGGTCGGGCCCGGGCCGGGGCTAGGCCCGGTCGGGCTTTAGGAGTTTGGAGGTAGGCCCGGAACTGGCCCGGGTAAACCCCGGTCCCCGGGCCGGGCCTCGGGCCAGATTCAATTTTTTTTTTCGTTTTTCTATTTAACCCCCGACCCCCCCTCACCCCGACCCCCCAAACCACCCCAAATGGCCCTAAATACATAGCCCAACCTGGGAACTTCAAAAAAAAATTGAAAAAAGGCCCGGGTCCGGCCTGGTCCGGCCGGTTCGTCTATTGGGTGACCCGAGCCCGCACCGGAAAACACCCGGGCCGGGCCTACTCGGACCGGTCCCTGGCCGGGCCATCGGGTCGGGCCGGTTCCGGGTCGGGCCACCCCGCCCGAGTCCACCACTATGCATGATGAGCTAAAATGATTGTATAAAATTTTCAGTCAATATAAGCAAGAAAGTAATTCTAAATTTATTTATTTTGTTGATTACGCGGTTCAATACATGAATAAATGTTATGTGTATGGTAAAATAGTTCGCTAGCAAGGCTTATTGGTTGAAAATAGAGATTATCAAACGGGTTTCTGATATAATTCAATTCATAAAAGGATTGTACATTTGACTGATTAAGTAGTTTAACTTATGGATAATCAATTAGTGGCATCTGGGATAGCACATGGGCTTAAAAGTGAGCAGATGCGCTTCAAAAACGGTTACTCAGTATGGGTAGATCGGATCGGGTCTAGATGTACCTAGAATCGGTAGGTTCCCGAGATCAGATTGCCCGGCTCAATTAAGAGACCAGCCTAGGGGGTCATGATTGTCGGTTTAGGTCTGCAATTATTTGGACCGGAAGCGGCCGGTCTGATCCCTTTTTTTTTGCATTTCAAGCATTGGAAGAAGAAATTCATTTAAAAGCTAAAAAAATGATAAGGAGGGGGTCGAGGTTTTTTCTTGTGGAAGAAGGGGGTTTAAATTAATATCACAACATTAGTATTCAGATAGAGAGTTAAACGATAAAAGGACCACACACAACTGTCATCCTTCGAACGTCAAGCATCTCCAAAAAAGCAATATAACTCATTGATTCTATAATGGACATAAATGAGCCAACGACGGTTAAAACATGTCTTACATCACCCAATCCCAATGCATGAGTTGCACAATAATAAAAGTAATCAACAGAAAAATAAGTAGTCTGATCATAAAAAATAAATCGCAAACAATTAATAAATTAAAAAGATGCTTCCAAACCCTAGACTCTCCTGTAGTACTGAGAGACTACATATGACTTCGAATCCAGATTTGTTCCGGTCTCTAGCTTCACACTTCATCCACGATCTTTGGCCATCAGAGACCAATCATCCATCTTCCATCCCTGTACAATCTTTGGCCGCCTGAGATCAAACATCATCTCCCCCGCTTACTCTTGCCAAAGCAAAAGAAGAAAAATCCTGTATGCCTAATTCTGGCTACGCCGACCACTTCTGGTAGCGGAGGAACAATCCTAGCTGTGGAAACCCAGAGAAAGAGCCAAAATCGTTTTATTTACCAGGGGTCCTGAGGTATAAAAAGGTACGAAGTACGAAGTACTAAATTACTAAAATATCAAAAAAAAATTAGAACCCTGCCTGGAATCGGAATAATTGGCGCCAGTCTCGGTTCAACGTATCCCAACCCCCAGAACCGCCTGTGAAGGACTAGAACCGGCCTGGAAGCTGGACTGGTCCATGCCTGCTAAGGCTGCTAAGGTGCTTCTTCACATTTAAACAGACAATTCATTCGAATCTCAGAGAGAACAAATTATCTCGCGACAAACACGTCGGTGGGCAACTTTGCCTTTTGCTTTCCGCAGTTTGCAAGCTTTCATGCAAAAATGGCGTCGTCTTTCAAGTACCCAGACATCACCCGGTCAGAGATCATCGGATATCTAGCTCATTTCGGGTTCGCCAGCAACGTCACGGAGCAGGACCTTCTCAATCCAACTCGCGAACTCGTCGAAAATATCTACACTCACCTTCTCAACTACTTGGACTTGATTCAGTAAACCCTCCATCCATTTCCCCCGCTCCAGTGAAGTTAATAGTCAATTTTAATTTGGGAGCTATTCTTGAACTTTTGCGTTTGGATGCGTTTAGGGAGGATGATGAGCAGGCGGATTTTGCGGCCTTGGAAGTTTTTCACAACCCGGATCTTCATGTTTCTACGGTTCCTGTCATGAATTTACTTCACAAGATGAGAGGGCTATTGGCTGCTATCGATTGCCCCGGCCAGTTCACTCTCTGGGATTTAATTAAGCCCGACCCTGATCGCACCAAGCTCTTTCTTGGTTCTCTTCTCAATTTCTGCACTCACAGGTAAATGAGACTGCTGAAATTAGCTTCTTCTTCTTTACTCGAATAGAGTTTTCATGTAATGAATAAATTTAAGCACCCTTGCTAAACTTCCGGGGATATATTCTCCTCATTTTAGAACCATCAAGATGGATGAACTGACATCACTAGCGGGCGAGTTGGATGTTTTTGTGGAGCAAAAACAAGCTCTAGAGGAAAAACTATCTCAGGTATATGAGTATGTCTTACAATGAAGCTATATTGAAGAATGTGGGACAATCATAAAGGATTATGTGAATTCACTATTCCACCCCACAGCTGAAAGCAGAGATTACACAATACAATGAATTAAGAGCAAGGGAAGCAGTCCTTGTGCAAGAAGAAGAAGCTAAAGTTAAGGAATTGAAGCAGACTATCGCTGGCCTCAACAACCATCAGGTGTCCTTAAAGTCTGAAACAAGAAAGATGAAGGAGAGGGCACAAGAGTTGGACGAGATGGTTTGCTTTTCAATCCATATTCCTATATTTTGGTACTTAGACCCCCCCCCCCCCCATTTTGATAGGGTTGCAGATAATTTGTGCATGATTGAATGTGATGCTTCCACCACAAGTCTACCAGACCTTAACCCAACTAATAAAAATTGAAATAACTGTTGTAATTTTTATTTAAGTTCCCGTTAATGCTTAATTGGTCAGAACACCTTGTAGTAACATATCTCAGTGGTCACTATAGTCTGCCCCCAAGGCCTACTATGACTTTAGTGAGCTATCGCACCTTCTACCAAAGGAATATGTAGATCGTAGATCTTAGCCATAACATGGTCATACCATTTTTAACATCCAGGTTAAGTATTCTGTTTATCCCCTATTGTTTATAGTTTGGCTTACTCCATTTCATTACCTGATTGCGTCTTGTTTTGATCTACTAGACTTCCAAAGTGGAGTTTGAACTGGTACAAAGTGCTCAAGAAAATGCCCATTTACGGTATAAAATTGTTCAATCTCCGGACAAGCTTCAGGTACCAAGAAGTTTTTTAATCAAAGTTTGTTGTTGAAACATATCAGATACCAATTAAGTCTCATAGATAAGTATGTACGCAATGCTCATGCTTTTGCTTGCAGTGTAATAATTAATGCCATAACCGCATAACATATGCTGATAGCTTAATACTTAGAAGAGACAAAAGTGTTAATTTAAGCATCCTGCATCATCATGCTTATTTATAAGATTGAATGAAATTCTTTGTGATAAGTCCCGACTAAAATAACAGTCTTTTTAGCATAAGGTTCCCATGAGTTTGACTAACCTGGATAAAAGTGAGATTTTTTTTTCAATGTTTAAAGGCTCATTTGAGATTGTATATGTATTTCGGTGTTTATTTTGAGAAATCATAGTTAATCATGAGTCATTACTATTTATAGTACCTGGTATCATGAAATATTTCTTCATTTGTTTTTGAGTTTTGACAAAAAACATCATGTTACAAACGCACAGCGGGCACTAGAGGAAAAAAAATCTCATCAAGTTGAGGCAAAGAATGCAGAAAGGGCGGCAATGCAATCCTTTCAGGATAAGAATGCCACTCTTGAGTTGTATACAAAGGTATGCTATGCAGTCATTCTTGTACATTTTTTGGAAAATTTTGTTTTTTGGTCCATCTACTATAGTTATGTTTTTTTCCCTTAGTCTTCAGCATTTCTTTTTCCTACATTTCGCATTAATCTAAATTGTTCAAAATGCCACTAAACAAAAGTAGTGTGGAATTTCATAAATGTTGACAAGAGTTTTTGCCACTTTTAGTCCTCCGACTATTATGTCATTGACACTTTTGGTACTTAACCTTGATTTTTTCCACTTTTAGTGCTCGACTATTGCGCTAGGGACAATTTGGTACCCGTCTTTGAAAATTTCCATATTTATCCTCTGACTTTCATAAAAGCAACACATTTGGTCCTTCAACTATTATAAAAGTTACATTTTTAGTCCTCCACTTATTATGTCAAAATCGGAGTGGAAGGAATAACACTGTCAATTTGATAATACTCAGGGGACTAAATGTGGAAAACTTTGAAGTCGAGGACTAATAGTGTCTCTAGAACAATAGTCGAGGACTAAAATTGGAAAAATTAAAAGTCAAGTACCAAAAGTGTCAATGACACAATAGCCGGAGGACCGAAAATGGAGAAAATGGAACAATGTCACATTCTGCATTTTAATCTTGCAACTTGCAAGTGTTTGTGTTTAACATGGAGAACCAATATTTACTTTAGTTGTACTTGCCCTGTGCTTCACAGTATTTTTCACCTCTCAAATTTCCCTCTCACAATATCAGGCTCTAAAGAAAATGTCTAAAAGCCTGGAGCAGATGAAGGCTATACAAGAGCAGGTCTGTTGGCATCATTTTGTCTGCCTTCCTGTTCCTTTTTAATGTTTTCATTATATATATAATCTAGTTGATATTTATTCATTTGGAGGTGTGCTCGCATTTTTACTTGTTATGAAAGAGTGCTTACTTGGAACAATAGCGTGATCTTGGTGTGTCATTGCATGTTTAACCAATTTGCGCATGTGCATTCATAAAACAAAATGCATTGATAGAGTGATAAATTGTTCTCTTCCCTCAAGGCCCTTTTGGAATCTTGAAAATGGTAATGAATCTGTGAAAGGAAAAAAAGGAAAGTGGAGAGGAAAAAAATAGAAGGGAAGAAATATTGAGAAGATGAAAAAAACAACTTCAACTAGCAATTTATTTTCATTCCCTAGCAATTTCTGGTATCCATGTGTACTCTTAATGGTTACACAACTGTATCGGCTCAGGCAAATTCAGTTAAATCAGTAGAAAAGGAAATAAAGGCTCTCAAATGTAAGCTGGGTGAAGATGAAGTGTTAGACAAATCACTTGACGCTAAAATGGTAGAAAAGCAAGGGAAAGGTAGTGTACTGGCCCACTCTTCAAATAATTATTTTTTCTAGCATTTATTTTGAGATATTATTTATTCTGAGACAGCGGACCAACTGGATGAAATGAAAAAGAAAGTAGAGATTGAATGCACACTCGCTCGTGAGGAGGCGACAAAGGAGCTAAACAATGTGAAGTCTCAAGTTGAATCAACAAGGCATGGCCTTCTGTTGCGGAAAAAGCAGGTTGAAACGGTCATTGCTGAGGTACTTATTCGTTGTTTGGCTAACAAAATAACTGCATCTCGTTTATATATTTGTAGAAGGTATATTTACATAAAGTGACATGAATTTGAAGGGTCACTGAAATTTCAACCTTTTCCAAACTAGGGGGATGCTGTTAATGCAAAGATTATTTCAGTAGGAGAGAATGCAGAATCCCAATGCCAACAGTTGAAACTTAAACATGAGGAGGTTACCAAAGAGGTATATATTCATCACTATCAACAAAATGTGTTTAGAAAAGAAATTGTTAATACCTGTGAGTTTTAATCCATCTACTATGCCTTTTGTTTTCAATTCGGTCCACAACTTTCTGGTTTGAACATTTCTGGTGCGATTTGATTTTTTTCTGGGCTGGTTTCGTTTGATCTGAATGTTTCTATCTTGTCTAGTTTTTTTTGTCGGTTTTTATATCTGCTCTTATTCATTCTCGTATCATTTGAATGTATATGATTTGATACTCCAGTCTTATTGGACTAAATCATGAAAATATATTATGTATAAACCAGCAGGCACAATTTACTGCATTTTCTGTAGTTTTTTGTTCTATTCTGCATGCGATTGTTAATTTGTTTTTAAATGTGTTGTGATGCTTGCAGTTTCTTGTGTACTCTAACAAAGTTGGCGACGTGTTGAAGCGCTATAGAGTGGACCCACCCACCCATCAGTAATTTACACTTCAACTGATTGGCCAAAATAGAAGGGAAATTGCCCTAAATAGAACTCTAAAAAAGTTTGTGTATTCCAAAATAAGACGGCCGTGTTTTTATTCCCTAAATAGGATTAATTACTGCAATGCTTTGTCAGTACCAAATTATAAACACGTCAGTATTTTCCAAACTTGACAGTAATTTATCCTATTTTGAGAATAAAAACATGACAGTTCTATTTTGGAATTCTCATACGTTTTAGTCCTGTTTCGGGAATATTCGCAATAGGAATTGCTCACGTCTCCAAATTTGGGAATTTTTAGCGTTACATGTGGTACATTGTAGATGCTTATGTTAAGCTCAATTCAGTTAAATTAACCCCAACATATAGATGCTTTCCGTTTAGACATCTATATATGCCAAATTATGACATCATTCATGTCTAGACATATAGATGTTCCTAATTTACCTCAACATTTATGCCTAGACATATAGATGTTCCTAATTAACCCCAACAGTTAAGCTCAATTCATTTAGTTGTCACACTCTAATTTCTTTACAATTCTTTTTTTTTTTTGCAAACATTTATATACAATACTTAGTGGTTAATATATGTTGGAATATAAAAATCTAGCACTGTACATCTCACATAAGTGTCAATCGAGTGAAAAACGAGAGCAACACTAATTGAAGGATTGAAGATAAGATGTCAAAAACTCAAAATTTCTAATTGTGGTGATTTCACCAAGTGTGTAGGAGATCGAATGATGAGTAGTCATGGACCCGGGCCGGGCCGGGCCGGTTCCGGGTCGGGCCCGGCCGGGCTTTTTTTTGGGAAGAAAGGCCCGGGACCGGCCCGGGTAGCCACCGGGTCCGGTCCGGGTCCGGGCCTCCGGTTTGGTCATTTTTTTTTTTTTTGCTTTCCTAACCCCCCCCCCACCCCTCAAAACCCCCCAAACCCCTCCTAACCATCAAGCCCAACCTGGGTAACCCCAAAAAATGAAAAAAATATAAAAAAAAAATCAATTCGGCCCGAATCGGGTCCATGACTAATGATGAGCTTAGATGTCAAAATTTCTAATTGTGTCCATTTTATTGTTGAACTCTGATACCATTCAAGTTAGCTGGCCTTGAACTCTTTTGGGAGTTATTGAATATTACTCCGTATTCAAATTCTACCATCGTTGAATATATTTATCGGTTTACTACCTAATTATTATGACATTATATAAAGATAAAGTTGTTCATCTATATATTTTTTGAATTGATGAAAAAAATGTTATAATTTTCTTTAACTTATTACAAAGATAAAATATATTTTAAATATGTGTTTCATAATTCAGCGTATTTCTTGTAATTTCTAAAATTTCACTAGATTTAGCAAATTAGTCAATTTAAGTGTTATCAAGAGCTCATATTAATTCCTATATTTTATTTATTTATTTATTTTGGAAAATGGTTTAATCAAGTTGCACTATTAAAAATCTCATATTTGGCTCGGATTTTGACTCTTATTCCTTCATTACATTTCTGAGTCTAACGCCTTTGGCTCAATTTTGTCGTAGATCCCCAATTTGCGCCAATATGGGTGTGCCAACCTGTTGGCTTGGATTTTAGCCGTCCAAGCCAAGAGTCGTCTCAGATTTTGGTTGAGCACATCCGAATCAACAGTCTGTCCAGCTTCGTTACTTTTATCTAGCCCAAAAATTATCCGTGCTGATATAGCAAATCCGAGCCAACTTTCCAAGGTCTGGGTTAAATACGGAATTCAAATTTGGCTCTAATAGCATCTGAACCAAAATATGTATAGTATTTTAAAAAAACATATTTTAAAACCAGTTAAAATAGTAACTCAGTCCATACAATTGCCATTAGCTAAAACAAGTTAAGGTGCCTGGGGCTTGTCAGCAATGGGTGATTTCTTCAAGTATTGTAGGATGTGCCTTCCAAAAGTTTGTATCAATAATGTTGGAATGTTCAACCGTAACTCTCTTGTGACAATTCGCCATCGCACTGAGTGGGCCTTCCTCCTGGAAAATTAAGGACAAACATAAACAAAGAACACAAAGTGCTCAATATAGGAACAAAGCAAACAAAAAGTTCAAAAAAAGGGTCAAGTAATCCGGTACTTGTATATCTTATTCCCCCTAAGGACAACCATAAACAAAGAACATAAATCGTTCAATATAGGAACAAAACATACACAAAGTTCAAAAAAGGACTAAGTATATTTTATTCCACCAATTTGACTAATTTGGTCATAGTAAAAGAATAAGTTGACTTAACTTTCCAAAATAGGAGTGAACAAATCATATTTTGGGAGTAAAAGAATGATAGTCCTATTTATGGACTTTATCTTGTTTTAGTCCTATTTAGGGAATTTTCTCAATAAAGAAATGGAATCTGAACAAAGCCAAATCAACTTTTTGGTTAGTCAAAGTAAACATTCTAAAAGAGTGAAAACAGTTTCGCTGTAAAGAAACAAAGGTACTGCAATAAATGTTATTGCATTACCTTATTCCAAAACACGGAGGATCCAAAGCGGAAAATAGATGGTAAATTGTGGTAATCAATCCCAAATTGGGAAAGCAGTTCAATTTTTTCTGGAGTTTGAGTACCCTGCAAAAAAGCACATAATTGGTCAGTAGCAATGTATGCCTCAACTGTATGCGATTCTTTCACTAAAACGGATTGACCTCACCCCAAGGGTCCGTTAGGAACTTGGGAATCGCCAAGGAAAGAAATAGGGAGGAACATCAAGGGAAAACTTGCTAAACATGAAAAATCTCTTTTTGGATATATGTTAAAGCTCTTTTTTGTACGAAAAAGGGAAATTTTATTGATAAATGAGCGAAAAAGATAACATAAAAAGGATAAAAGGAAAATAAAAAATAAAAACAACAAAAAGGAGAGTACAGATGAAAAACCCAACCCTAAGTATACAAGTACAAGACCCTCCCTAAAAGACATTGAGTTCCAAGAGGTCATCAGAACTCCGCATGTTCAAACTCTTATTATTTTTAGGTATTTTCCAGAGAAACTAAAACATGAAAAATCAAAACCCCTTTCAATTTTTTCCCTTTCCCTACAATTTTCTGAGTTCCAACTTCCAAACATAGCCTTACAGTTTTGCTCCATAGTACCAAGTGATACATCTTAGGTATTCCAAGATAGATCCTTAGAATATCCCCCCGGAGTACCCAAAAAAACATTTTCTGTACAAATATGCAAAAGATATCAATTGTTGACACTTGACAGAGTTCCAATACTATGAATATGAAGAGTGTTCCAATCCAAATTAATAAGGGACATCCCTAAAAGGAATTCCAAACATATGTCGCACATTGCACGCACCTTAAGGATGTTTTGGGACTCCGTTTTGCTTTTGCCAGATTTTACAAGCATCCAAAAACAAGTGTTGTACTGATTATTGATATGGCCTGTATTTCCCCAAATAAATTATCATGAAAATGGGAAGTTACAAATAATAGTGATGTACTGCTATCATTTTCTCAGACCACATCACTGGAATTGAAGTACATAAGTTTGTTTGAAGTTATCAAAAAACTCACAGTCAACTTGTCTCCAAGCCAAATAATCTCGAAGAATCTTAGAGGATGGATAGCATACAGAACGTCCGTCAAAGTATGGTGGATACTTCAAGTCTTTTTGGGGGAAAAACTCCTTCCATTTCATCAAATATACAGATGAGAAGAAAGAAACAACGGAAGAGACTATTTCACTGCAAACATGATAAAAGTATTTATCGTCACAGAAAGTCAACATAAAATGTCAACAATGTAAAGACACAACCATCCTTACATAATAAAGATATATCATGAAAAACTCTAAGTTAACCCAAAAGAAAATTAAACATCTACCACAAGCAAAATGAGGAAGATTAAAGGAGTGTTTGCAATTGCTTAAATACACTTATCTACTTTTTCTTAAAAAAGCAGTTTAAAGCTATTACAGTTTTAAGCCACCCATGCTATTGCATGGGTGCCTTAAAACTGTTTTTCACTTTTTCTATTACACAAAAAACTAGTTTTCCAACAATCATTCTAACTTTTACTAATTTACTCTTTTTAAATCGCATTTCTTTTCAATCACCCAACTTTACTATTAATCACAAATCATATATATTATCTTTAAAGCAAATCACTTCTCATAAGTAGAAGCAAATGCATATTCTCCTTATGATCCTTCCAAGCCAATTCTGAGAAAGGAGTTGCAAGTAATTCTTGTTAGAAGCAAGAGTCTGAGAAAGGAGAGTGATTTGCCTGACTAAACAAATTCTACATTTTCATATCTAAAGGCATACTCCATCACCAATGGCCATAAGGCATAGGTGATCATGATGAGGTGAGATGATGAAACAGTTACCTAGCACGCCTTTGGTAGAGTGAAGAGTCTTTATTCAGAACAAAGCTGAAAACATTGAATCAAAATCTGTTAAAGGACAAAAGGCATCACACAATCACATTAAATATTATGCAGATGCTATTACCTGTACTCATCACTCACCCCATATGCAAAGACAATGTCTGTGAACTCCTCCACCACAGCAACTGCACAAGAGTTCATAAGGTTCAGGGCTTGCTCATCATTTGGTTTCTCAAAACTATGAGCATCACAAAACCTATCAACCGTTTCAAAAGAAGTGTGGAATTATTTTGGAGTTGCTGCACAAACAAGCACTTTATGAAGCACCTCTATTTATTAAATAAGCATTTTATGAAACACCTCTGATCACTACATATCACTTCAAAGCTTGTCAATCATAGAATATTTTATGCTTGTTATTAAGCAAAGACTTTCATGCTTAATTGCAAAAGCACATCATAAAAAGACTACGTCAAAAACTACGTGAAAAGCAATGCATGCCTAGATAAGTTTTAAACTTTTGAGGATAACTGATTAGAATTTAGAAGTTACTCATATGTCCTTCATTGACTAAATAGTTAGCCACCACACTTTCATTTGGACAATTTGAAAGAGCCATGAACTCAGTTTTAGTAATGAAAAGTTTATCATTAAAAAATACTCCCTCCGTCCTAATATTGGGACGGAAGAGAGTGGTGTGGTTTTTAAGAAAAGTAGAATATGTGGTTGATAATGAGTTGATAATGTGAGAATAAAGTAAGAATGAATTAGAGTCACACAAATCTTACCAGATATGGTATGGGACAATAATAGGGGAACATCCAAAAATGGAAAAATGGGACAATTATAGGGGGGCCGGAGGGAGTAGTTGATATTGTGAAATTGAACGACAGTTACTAATAGTTTTATCAATTGGAAACTCAAACCTTTATAAGTTTATAACTGAAAAGGTAAATAAAAAAGTATTTGCAGTTCACCGCCTGAAAGTGATCAAAACAGAGCAGCAGGAGAAGTTTAAGGAATTTTAGAAAGTGAATTACAAGGAGTTTTACCTATGGAAGTGGCAACCATCAATCCGGATGACAATCCAAGTAGATGGCATCAGCTTACTTTCATATTGGAAAGACTTGATATACTCAGACTTTAAATTCTCAATGCCTTCTCTGAAAACCCCCACATCTTTATTTAGAGATTCCTGATTATTCCAGAAGTTCGCAGTAGCTATATTTTCTGAATGCACAATAACTACTTTCTTCCTCTTCCGTCTAACAGGAGCTAAATTTTCAAGGTACTTCACAATATCTTCAACCTGAATCGATAAGGATAAAGAATGAGTGAATGAGAATTGTCAAAAATGTGGAGTGAAAGAAAGTGTGATGTCCTCCCAAACAGTAAATTAAATGCTTTCAATTAGAACTGGGGCTTACACGAATATCATCACAAATTAAATCTGACATTTGCACAATGTGATACTTACTATCTATCATAGACAAAATTCAATAGTATGCAATATGCAACTTGAATGAAATGCTGCTCAAATTTGAATAGTTCCACCCCCCTTCCAGAAAATCAGAAAATTAGAAGCTTCCTATAAGAACTGGGAGACGGGAGTTACAAAAATATCATCACAATTCACAAGTTAAATCCAAAATCTGCACAATGTGATACTTGCTATCTATAATAGAAAACCTTTGATAGTATGTCATATGCAACCAGAACGGTATGAAGTTATGAGCTTTCATATCAAAAAAATTGCTCCATAGGAAGTGCCACCCAGAAACAACTTTCAACCAGAACGGTATGAAGTTATGATATTTTGAAGATCCAAAGGATGTCGCAGATACTTGATATGGGTACCTCTTTTCGGAGAATGCATGATCCTTGACGAAATATCTCAGGAACATCTTTTTTGTAGTTGATACTGAACTGTTGAAAAAGAAGTTCATTTTTCTCTTGCTTATGGGTCCCCTTCCAAAATAAAAAAGAAACCACTAGTAGCGAATATAAAATAGCGCTAAATCAACATGAACTCACTACAACTACATCAGTGATAAATGCGCAACACAAATATGCTTTCAGTAAGTTGTAAATAACGAATGAAGTAATTGATCCATGTACATAAAGGCCTTTTTTGATGAAAATCTGGAACTGTTATTAATGCCTATTCTTAGAGATACAGGTTCTCCAATATATGTCATTTCACAGCATTAAAGGAAAGACAAATAAGATGATGCCTAGGAACTTCAATGCCTGCATGAAGTTAAGGAACAAAAACTATCATCTCAAATACTCCCTCCATTCTCTAATAGATGGCCTTATACGGTTTGACACAGGTTTTAAGGAGAAAATAATAGGGGTAGCGTAAAAGGTGTAGTGGGTTGTGTTTGAATGAAAAAGTAGGAAAGAGAATGAGAGACGTGTATTGGAGAACGGAGGGAGTATTATGTTGATGTTTGAATATTCACTGTAAATAATTAGAAGATATTTCAAGAATCCTGGATGGAGATAAATCAGATAATATTAAGTTGTTTAACCACAATACTCAAGATCAACCTCAGAAATGCAATTAGAACTTTCTTGTTTAGCATAGTATGCTCCGCAGTTTTATTTGAAGGGAAAAAAAGAATGAAAAATATCACTTACAAGTTATAACCAAGTATAAAAATATAAGTATTCATGAACGATTGGTACTTAAAATTTCAATAAATTGGTACTTACAGTTTTAGAAAAAAACCAGAAGTCCTTTTTTTATTTTTGAGAAAAGATAAGTAGTACCAATAGTTCATACACGCATGTGCCCACACACACAATACACACACACACATAATGTTATATGTAGTAGTATTCTTTATATTTCTTGATATTTTTCAATTCCTCATAATGTTATACGTAGTAGTATTCTTTATATTTCTTGATATTTTTCAATTCTTCTCCGAGATTCTAGAGAAATTTCATTACCCCCACACTTACAGGACACATCAAAATATACTCCCTCTGTCCCTTATAATTTTGTCATCATTCCTTTTTATTTGTCCAAAAAACTTTGCCACTTTCCCTTTTAATCAATTAATATGTGGTGATTGTTATTTCTCTCCTCTGCACAAACCTCAACCACACAGTTTTTACTTTATTGTTCCCTCTGTCGGTCAAGCTTGGCAAAGTATTAAGGGACGGGGGGAGTAGAAACTTTGGGGATACTTTCACATTTGCTTATAACAGACTAAACTAACTACCTTTAGAATTGACTTGGCCTCTACTTCACACATTCCACGTTTTACAAGTTCCCAAAAGCAGGTAGCATACTGATTTTTTATGTGAGCTGCAAAGAATAAGAAGCCTCTATAAAAAAAAAGAATTGAAGTAATGGCGTTTTTTGCTTTTGCAGTGTTTAAGCAGAATCGTTCAGATGTCGAACTTACACTCATTTTGTCTCCACATTAGATAAGCTTGAAGAACCAGAATCGATGCACAACAAATGACACGTGAATGAAATGAAGGTGGAATCTCCAATTCCAGTTGGGGAAAGGCGCACTTCCATTTGGTGACAAATACAGATGTGAAATAGGACACAATAAGCGAGTATATTTTGCTGCAAAGGATGAATGTGACTCAGACTTTATGAATATTTCAAGCTTAAATGAAAGGAATGAATACAGAATGAAATTACACTATTGTGACAACCCACAACTCTAATGTTATAAGATTATGCAGATATAGAACAATCAGACTCTCAGTCTCGGATAATACGAACCTAGCTCGCCTCTGATAAAATTTGGTTTCTTTCTTGAATACAAAACTGCAAACATAAAACCACGGCAACACATTGAGTTATTATGCATGATTGCATGTCCACTGAAGAAAGTAAGGCAAAACCACTGTACCTAAACTCATTGCCAAATCCATATGCAAATGCAATGTCTGGGAACTCCTCAAGGACTGCAGTACCACATGCATTCATCAACTGCAATGCTTTTAGATCATTGGAAGTGTCAAACCTGTGAGCTTCAGAAAACCTATAAAAAGATCACAAAAATTTAACCCGAACAAACTAGCACAGTTGCACCATAAACAACCTGCCAATCACATTGAACCTCATATACAATGAGCTATTGAATTAATCAATACATTCTGTTGATTTATACAGTAGTTAGGGGATCTGCAGTTAGAGTAAGGAGCTTTATTAATTCAAAGGAGATGGGACACAAGGATGGCGAGAAACCACACCCCAACAATAGTTCAATCTTGTCCATGCTGCTATACCTTCAACCGGGAACATACTACCTCCTGACCTCTTATGTTAGAGGTCTCAGTTTTAATACCTATGGTTGTGGCTTTCCTTGTATGTACCATTGTACATTTGTCGTTCACTTTCCTTACATACCTTTTTATATTTTTGTGTGGGTATCATTGACTTCCTTTCCTAGTGTGTATCACCTTCCATCAGCATACTAACCCCCACCCCCAAGAAAACACACAGCATGCACAATTAGGGATGACAATGTGGCAGGTACAGGAAGGAACCCTAAAACCACTACCCGACCCAATTCGGTAGAAACTAGATCTTACACTTTTAAGTTAACCACACAACTCACTGAGCATAACCATTCAATATGGATAAACTAAATTATAGATAATAAAATCATTATGATTCATTATTATGCGCTAAACTTGCTAATGCCTTTAGTTTGAAAATTCAAGCCACAATTATTGCAAGTTGGTATTTTTGAACTGATTCTCTAAACTCAATTTGGAATTTGTACTCTGGATAAGGTCCAACCACATCTAATTTTTTTTACATAACATAATCAAATTCATAAAAGAGTCAAGGAGCTTTCACAATGAACAATATTGTCTTAAATAACAGATAGCTTTATTAGTAGTGATCAAAACTTGTACAACATTTTATATTAATGTAACATTATCATAACTAGCGGGGGAAAATCAGCATTATCCTTGAATACTAAAATTTGGAGGGGAGGCTATCAATAGTTCTATATACAACAAATGCATAAGGAACTACTTTTAGATCGATTAATCTTTTGAACTGAGTAAAATCACAGAAAGAATTCCATAAAACAAACAATATGCATGCATATGCAATACCTTCCAAAGTCATGCCCATTTATGTAAACGACTATGATATTGGGTACCATGACTTCATCTTCAATTTCAAATGACTTCACATACTCGTACTTACTATTCGCCATGCCTACAGAAGTACACTTTTCTGTTAATTTATTACCGTATAGGTGCAATAGCCAAATTCATCATAACATTAGCTGAGAGCATAGAATCCACAAGGTAAATATTTTGACAGAATGGTCCCCAGAATAAGTGAGTATACAGCTCAAACTAAATTTGGGAAACGGTCAATTATAAGTTGGAATTTACAAGCAAGCTAATAGTCTAGGCAACTTAATCTACGATTCTACACATGCACTACTGTTTAAGTATAACAAATAGTATATTGCAAAATGCAAGTCTTAATGTCTTATTAACTACTAAAGATTCAAAGAAATGGTTTTTTTATTTCAAAAATCAAAATAAGTGTTTAATACTCCGTGTGCATCTAAAAATTGAACTCTTACGTAATAACTGTGAAAACAGAATAAACCTGTGACTCCCTGGCCCTTTCTAAGCAACATTGTAGAGGTAAAAACTAAAAAATATGAAGCTGTTTCAGAAAAAACAGATAAAATCCTAAACAAATCAGAAAAAGGTGAAACGATTTAATGGAAGCAATACTGATGGAAAATAATGAAAAAAATCGGATGAGGGTCTGATAAAAAAAATCAAAAACATATGTAAAAAGATTAGATGAAAATGATGAATATGTTACAAATTAAAAAGATTAAAATACTAAAATTAAAATAAGAAAATGTAACAAACTTACCTACTGATGGCCTGCTGTCAGCAGCTCGGCCAGTAGGAGACAGGAGAGTGTGAGGGAGATCGGGCAGACGTGGGCAGGGGCGGAGCCAGGACCAAGATTCGTGTGGGGGCCAGAGGTAAACTAAAAAACACTAAAAAATATTAATGAGTAAACAGTTCGAATATAATGATTATGATCCATTAAAATTCATAATGTAGTAGGTTTAAAAAACAAATGCAATGAGTTTTTTCTTTTTTAGAACGAGCAAAATATTTGGAGTTTCAATCAAGTTATGTAACTCTTGTCTGTTTTGTGTACTTACAATATGCTTAAAAAAAGAATGCAATGTTATTTTTGCCTTTTTAGAAGTGCATTGGGTAGTCATACCTGCTTAAAATTAATAAAATTAATGAAACAATCAATATACAGAGTATTATTTTTCATTCACATAATTTTTATTAATATGTTAAGAAATTCATCATCCTAATTTTCAATACCACAAATGAAATCACAAAATGACACAAATTATTCACCAATGGTAAAAGAAATTGACAATGTACGTTCTTACAAATTCATACTAGTAAAACACTTTAGAACTAAAACAATTAAACACTCAAATAGGACATTCATTTGGAATAACTCAAATTAATCAAAACATTTAAAACACAAGATTTCAATTTTCAAGATATTAGCTATGTAAGTTTAAAAAAACTAAAGAATAACACACTTAAGTTACCTGCTGGCCGTTGGGGCTGTTGGGCCGCTGAGCAGAACTGCAGAAAGCAGCCAAAACTCCCAGAAGGTGAGAAGTGAGAAGAAGACTACCAGGAATCGAGGCGAGAGGCGAGTGGCGCGCGGGGCTGCGGAGGCGTGGGGCAGGTGCGACTAGGGGTGGTTCGGTACGGTCAGTGGAGGACCTAAGGGGGGGCTAGGTGGGGCACGTGCCCCGCTTCGAGCCCGGAATTTCACTAGTAGTACTTAAGATAAAAACGAGTGCCCCGACTTCATACCAGTATTTGATGATTAAGATACTAAAATGTTACGGTTATATAAATAAAAAATTAATACTTCCTCCGTTCTCTAATAGATGAAAGTATAACTTTTGGCACAAGTTTTAAGAGAGAATTAATAGGGATAAGATAAAAGGTTTAGGATGTTTTCTTTTGGACTAAAATTTGCTGGTCTGGTCTGTTCTAGTCTGATCTGGTCTGGTCTAGTAAACGTCTGGTCTCTGTGTAATTTATAACTACGAAAGTCAAGTCTGGTCTGGTCTGATCTGGTCTGGTCTGCTCTGGGACTGAAAATAGTCCAAAAAAAACATCCTTAGTGGGTTGTGTGTAAAGGAAAAAGTAGGAAAGAGAGTGAAAAAGTAGGAAAGAGAATGAGGGTACATAGGAATATTTATTGAAAAAAAATCTAAAAATGGAAAGAGAAACATGTATTGGAGAACATCACAGAATGGAAAAAGGGACATGTATTAGAGAACAGAGGGAGTACAAAATCTTTAAATTTTAGCTGAATTAAAACAAAAGATATAGAATTATCAAAAAATATTAAGAATTGAAAACAAAAAGTAACAAAAAAAAGTTAAAATGCAAAAAAGTAGCCAATGTCCGGGCAACTAAAAGTACGGAGTACTAAAAGTCTAAAAACTCACAAACATTTGGAAGACTAGAATGATAAAAGCTCAAGTTCTCCAAAAACAAAACCTCACGCGGACGATTTACGAAATGAGAACAAATGAGTTATTTTCTGTCATACAAACTATTGGTGAAGTTTGTAAGAAGATGGTTGAGCTTAAAGTTCACAATTCTTTTCACTTAGTATATCGTCTGATTGAATTGACTTTAGTGTTACCAGTTGCAACGGCCATCGTTGAAAGAGTTTTATGCGATGAATATTATCAAGACAGATCTTCGCAATAAGATGAGAGATGACTATCTTACGGATTGCTTGGTGTGCTACATCGAGAGAGATGTTTTTAGAAGCATCGATAATGAAACTATTATGCAACATTTTCAGAATATGAAAGCTCGTAGGCTCGATTTACCAAAGTTGCAGCAGTGAACTATTTAATATGTAATTATATAATTTAATACATTTTTTTACCATTTTTATTACATTTGAAGTTTTTATTATAGACTAACTTTGGTGTGTAGTGTGCCCCCGCTCTCACAAATCTCTGGGTCCGCCACTGGGTACGGTATACCTTATATTTTTTCTCATACCTTTGCCATACCAAAACTTTCCGTATGCAAAATTTGCATACCTTTACCTTACCGAAGTTTCGGTATACCGCATTTCGGTATATCGAAGTTTCGGTTCGGTAACGGTACGGTATCGGTAAATTACCGTGCATGTCTCCCAATACAAAAAATTATCATAGATTAACGAAATATACTAAATCGTTATTACTAGTGACATGTTAAATCTATTATTAAAATGTTACGAAATACAATTAATAATCTATTGATGTCAATTCAATATTGAACAATAATTATTATTATTAGTATATTTAAGCAGTTCAACATTCCGCATATTAAAAAGTAACACATTCTCTTAAAATAACTTGAACAATATAGATATAATTAAATCAACAGTGATCTCTAACAAAAATAAATAAAACTATTCAAACAACATGGATATAAAATCATTTATTTCTAATATGATATTGTGTATTTAGTCATTTTTATAATTTTTTAAAATTTGAATAAGACTTTCGGATAAAGTTGTGTGTCTCGACTCGCGGAATCCCTATGTAGATACACTTGTCACATAAGTGTATCTCTCTTCACTTGTCAGCTACTTAGCGGCTCAACCATCACGACTTGCAAGATCTTGGAACAAGATGGACTTGTTTCTTGACATTTGCACATTAGTCATTAGTCATTAAGGTTAGCGTAGTAGAAGCCTATAAGGTTATAGTGGGTTTGAGAAATTGGGCCTTTATTTTTGTATTTTTGTATTTTTGTATTTGTAACCAACTTAAGTATTAATTTTGGACCCTCGAAAAAAAAGTATTAATTTTGGGCTTCAAAATTGTAATGGATTTCTACAATATACTATCATCCGTTCTATAATTCTTGCAACAGTTTGACTTTCACGTTTGCCAATGCACAACTTTGATTGTAATTATATTTAATTATGTATTAGTAAACATTATAAAAAGTTGATATTTTGGAAATTCACATTGATAAGAGTTCAATAACATTTTATACGTAATAATTTGATTATGTATATTAGTAGAAAATCATGGTCAAAGTACGATCTGTGAAGTGTAAAAATCACAATGTTGCAAGAATTATAGAACAGAGGAAGTATTAGAATTAAAAGTAATTGTTGAGTAGGGAGTCGGTACGGTATTATACCGGTATACCGCGGTATTTGAAAACATTTACCGTTACCATACCGAAATAGATCGGTACGGTATGATACCGTACCGAAAATGACGGTATACCAATATTTCGGTATTTTCCGGTATTTTTCGGTACGGTAAGTGCGGTATACCGATATTTCGGTATTTTTGCCCACCCCTAGGTGCGACGCGAGGGGCTGAGGCGGGATACGTGTCTAGGTGAGCCGGGTGAGGCGTACACCAGGCAATGCGGCAGAACTTGGGACTTGCCCAATAGGAAGTTTTTTCTTTGATTTGGGTTTGATTTGGGTAGCGGTGGGCGAGGTCCGGTCTCGTCCAATATTTGACTGAATCCGTACTCGGACCGTTACTATTGTAACGGTTCGATCCTAGACCTAAACCCGTTCGATACGACTTCATTTTCAAACGATACGGTATCATATCATATCAATATCAAACAATGCCATTTTTTCCCGATAAATTAAAGCTTAATCATCATCCAAAAATCCACACAATTATCAATTCATATTACATAGTTAATAAATTTCATATTAGTACAAAACATAAATCACAAAACGTTCGTGACAACAACTCTCTACGCACCATTGGCTTCTCCAGACTCCATCTTCCCACTCAAACACACATAATCAGTGTATTTTTGCCCAACAGAGGCATTAATTTGTGCAGGCGGGTTGGAGTAAATTTTTGGGAAATTTTCACAACTAAACCTAAAAGCGAAAAAAATATCAGTTCTTTCACTTTTGAAGTTTTTTTTCAAACGTAAACCAACTAAAAATTTCTTTTCAAAAATAGACCATGTCTACTCTACTGCCGTTTATATTCTGATCCAAAGCAGCGCACATTGGTCGTCCCTTCTACTTCGTCTTTGTTCAATTCAACTTTTTAATAAAAAAATACAAATATATGAAATGTAAAACAAAATGAAAAAATAAAATAGTGAAACTATAATATAAAATACAATAAAAGTATAAAAAGACTCAAAGTAAGAAAAAACTAAAAGTACATAATAAAAAGGAGAAAATAATGAGTTCCAAATTAAGTTTAAAAAATAAAGAAGGTATTTAAACTTTAAAAAATAAATCAGAAAAACCTAAAAATATGTAATGAAAACATATCAATACACAATACAAAACAAAATGTAACAAAAATAAAATATTATGAAAATTGTAATGTAATTTTGTAAAAAAAGCTATGTTTAAAAAACCGACCCGACCCGGCCGGGTTGACCCGGAACCCGGTGACCCGGACAAAAAAACGGTTCGGTTTTTTCAAAACCCGGAAATGGTCAAAAACCGGAAAAACTCGGCTGACCCGGGAAAACCCGGTCAAGATCCGGACCCAAGAAACCCGAAAAACCCGGTAAAACCCAGTTTTTAGGTGTTTTACCAAAAAAAAGTAATTTCTTTTTTATTTTTAATGCATTTTTTATACCAATAAAATTGCAATTTCAATACCTTAAAAAGAAAAACTACGTAATATATTTATATATTTATTTAAGAATGAGCATCATGCCAAATTATAATATAGATGTACAATAAAAATAAAAATATCATTATATATTTTTATAAGATCAAAATATACATTGAAATATTATAAGAGTGTATTAATAAATGCTTAATAAGTAGTATTGTAAGTTGATTATTATGAATAATAACTAATTTTTATTATAATTTTATATATAATTATATGTTTACTATTATTATATAGACGTATAATCATTGACCGATTTTCCGGCGTTGACCGGGTTGACCCACCGGGTCCGAGTTGACCCGTGACCCAGTCATGTGACCGGGTCACTCTCCGGTCCGGTTTTTACAACATAGAAAAAAAGAGGTCATAAATCTGGTAATTTATAAAAAAAAAATATTACAGCTGTCAAAAGTATAAACAAAATCAATTTTTTTTTTGCAAAATTAATAGAAAAAAAAAGGAAAACATATAATATATAAAAAAAATGAAAGAAAGTTAAATCAACTTTTAAAATATCTAAAATGATAAAAAAAATAAGAAATAAAATGTAAAATAAAGTGAAATATTTTCAAAAATATTAAAAAATACGAACTTAATTAGAAACTTGAAAGAGTAAACATTTCTAAAATAAAAATTAGAAAAAATCTATTAATGCAGACATATACATTGAAACTTTAAAAAACCGAAAAATAACAAATTATAAAAATCAAAAGTAAAAAATATAAACAAAATAAAAATATCTAAAATAAAAATGTGAAAAAATATAAAAAATATCCAGAATTAAAATATCTGAAAAATTATGAAAATTACCATGTATCAAATGTGTAAATGATGGGAAAATTTGTAAAATTAATGTGATTTTTGTGATTTGAAATTTTTTAGTTACAAAATGTCAATAATTATTATCACAAGGGCATGCTATAATTTTTTTGTTGAATGTTGTTTCCTTGTGTTTCTTTTTGTTTATAAACTTGCAATTTTTGTTTTTTGGTTGTTTATTTGTGTTTGTTGTTGTTGATTTTTATAAATCCAATTTTTTCATTAGACGGACTAGTTGTTTAGATATAGTAGAAAAAATAGAAACCTAAATAAACAAAAAGAAACAATCTTTTTGCATGCTAGAAACAAAAAGAAACAAAATAAAAAAAATAACGATG